CCCCAAAACCCCAAAACCCCAAAACCCCTTTGAATATTTAAAAATTGATATTTTTAGTGATTAATTTCCTAAAAATTGTTCAAATGAGTCATAAAATGCCGCTTCCACTTAGACCAGCCAAAATCCAGATAAAAGAATACATGTTCACTGTCGAACAGTGGAATGATCCTCAAGAGTTAGAAAAATTAATAAAAAACTCGATTTCTAGCATAAACACAATTGTTGGTACTGGAAAAGTCAATTTGCAGAATATCCCACAGATTGGTCGTTCTGATGATGCTTTTCTCAGGTGAGCCACTCCACCCCTCAAAAACGACCAGCTAATAATACATCCTGAAGAAATGAACTATATTGAGGCCATAAAAGACAGTTTCAGGGCAAAAATTAGTGAAGATATGTATTTCAGAGCTCTTCAAGAGGAGCATATTTTGTCAAAAATTTGAACAAAAGCCATAATTGACATGAAGAAAACTCAAATATAGTTCCGAACCAAAAGAGGAAAGCGGAAACACCTTCAGAGTCACTCTCAGATCAGAACTCTTCTTTCGAGTCTGGAGAAATCAAACCAAATACTTCATGTATAAACTCAGGTACGACAGAAGCTTGTTCAACCAAAGGTACTAATTTTTCACTAACTTTAGCTAGCACTAATAGCCCTGAAGAACCGAGTCCAGAGAAATTTGCTAAAAGAAGAATGCCTAAAAAGAAAGATTGCTCAGAACCAGCTACAAAGTCTAAGAAAGAGATGACTAAACCAGACCAGCGATCCAACGGAAGGATCCTTCATGACTCCACTGACAAAACCTCTTACTCAGGGAATTGCTTGAAAAACGACTTACTCTTCAAACTCTCCATGAAGAAGGGCCTGGCTTCCAAAGAAGATTTCATAGTGATTTTTGAAAAAGCAATAGAGAAGAAATTCATAAAGAAGCTTTCTAAAGAAATTCCTCAGAAACAGGAAACCTCCCTACCTGAGACTATCAAGCATCATTTCATTCTGTTCAAGAGATATAAATAAGCACAAGATGAGTTTTGTGCACTTAGATTTGACTAAATAATTGAGTTGAATACCATATACCCGAGCTAACCAATTCACAAAAGTTCAAAAAGAGAGTACTCAAGCAGCCCAAAAAGTTACATTTTCAGTGGGGTCAAGAAGATACACACGCTCAGAGCAAAGAGATTGTTTATAAAGTAGTGGCAGATCATTTGTATGAATATAAAAATGAACAAATTGACGCCATTTTAAAACATATTGGAGATAAATACCACCCAATTGACCAGACCCAGTTCCAAAAAGACCTAGATACTTTCAAATTGTTCACAGAGAAAATAGAATAATAACCACTTTCTTGATTAATTGTAAAATTTCAATAATTTATCACAAAGAGGGGTTTTGGGGTTTTGGGGTTTTGGGG